ACAGGTAAAGCGACATGAACAAAACCCTGTATGTATTCACCAAAAACTGAGAAGCCAGTTTGAAAAAGAATGGCTAGTGCTAAAATTTGACTTTTGATGTTGAAAACAAGGTCAAATGCTGTTCTAGATCAGATTAGAGAATCAACGGAATACAAAACACTGAGAGCTTCTGGAGAATGAAGTTTCTGGTTTCCACCAGAAGTAAGCTTTCCAATTGCAGTGGTAGGCTTTGCGAGAAGTCGATTTCCTAGTCTTTAAGAGCACAGGAATTAGTGTCTGAAATGCCCCTATCCCTCCCTAAAGGCCAACAGCTAGGCAGGTAAAGGCAGTGACTGATAAGCAAGATGGTAAACCAGTCTTTGGGACAGTAGATCTAAATGATCCAGAAGGGCCAACAGAGAGTCTACAAGGAGCCTATGTCCAAGCACCACATACTCCTGCGCCAATTTGGTGTAAAGAAGACCACTGGAATGCCCTCCATCTTGATATTGCATGAGCAGATGAGGATAGAGCTTTATTCAGGGTAAAGACATAATTCAAGTCAAACTGATTTCATGAAGTCATCAGAGCAACCACTGCCAGGACCTAAGGATCCCTGGTCCTGACATAAAATCGACTGTTGAACCTGAAAGTTAGGAGGTTCACATTCTGCATCCCCAGCTGTGCAAAATAGCTTGAAACACCTCCAGGTGAAGGGACCATTTGCCGGAGTACAGACACTGACGACTGAGTAGTCCAACTCTCATTTTTCACACCAGCAGAGACAAGTGAGTGCAGGACACGATTGGCTTGGGGGTCTATCTTCTAAGATATGAAACCCAAGGCCTGAGAGGAACAAAAGGGGCTTTTTTCATTTTTTCAGAATGAAAGGCTTACTAACAGGAGCTTTTGCCTTCCTATTGTGGGGCAAAGGAGTACTCTTCACTCTTTAACTTTCTTAATATAAATATCCAAGGATTCTCTGAAAAGGCACTTCCCTTGAAAAGGACATCCATGCAAGATGCTTATTGTGAGGAAGCTCCGCAGACCAACATCTGAGCTGGAGGGTCCTCTTCATGTGTACTGAAACGAGGCCTGGATATCTGGGGAAGTGAATCTACTAGGTCATCAAAACAATAGTGCAGAGCCATAGGTAAGACCTCTAGTTGTTGGAGGATAGACAGATTCAGAATGAATTCGGGGTTCTAAGCTTAACTTAATCCACACAACCAGAATCAAGCATATTGACATGGCTGCAACAGCAAGTTGCATAGCGGGGCCTGTTAGACAGAAAAAGGCCTTAAGGAGGGCATCTAACCTCTTGACAGACTACCCACTTCTTCAGGAACACCTCCACAGTAGGGTATTGATGAGAAAAATATTTTGCGGGGTAGAAGATTTTTTTCAGGGTGAGGTACTATAACATACCTGAGAAGGTATTTTCAGGCCAAGGAATTTTTAGCGAGGCAAGGTTAGTGACCTTTGGCAAGGTTGAAACAGGTTGCTCTGGGGTTGAGACATATGAGCACTGCTTAAATAAGGACATCAATAGTATCCTCAAGCTGCTGAGAAATATCAACACATTAGACTTCCTGCAAAGAGTCTTCAGAATCGCATGACGTACATCTCCACTCAACTCTTCCAGCAGTGCGAAAGCAGTCATATGAGATTCACAGATGGGGTTCATTTACTAATATTGGTACACTCAGAATCTGGTGAAGCTGGGCATGGTAGCCAATCAACTTATTCAATTAGGCTTTGGCAATAAAACCTGGAAGCTGATTGGTTTCTATGCAGAGTTGCACCAGATTTTGCACTCTCTAGCAGTCCTAATATACATAAGTAATTACAAACTACAGATAGAAATAATACTCTTGAAAGATCAACATTTTTGAGTTGGTTTGCCTCAATCTGATCTCTTTTCCTTGTAAATACAAAGAAAACACTACAGTTCTCACCTAAACAGCTGTTAATTCTTTGTGCATGCTGGTAGCTCAAGGCCAGATTGGTTTCTCCTCATTTGTACTTACTGCAGTTTGCTAATTTTATTATGCTTTACTGAACCTCATAAGTACTTTCAATCCAACTACTGAAAACTGTTCTGGTATATTTGCATGTAGTTATTATTACTTCAGCTCGCAACTGGCAGGTTTAACATTTTCCAGACTAGGGGCCCACAGGCTTCCTAGATAAAATGGACTCTGATTGCTTCTGCTCTGTTCACCCTGATCATCATTTGAGAGCTTCTCCCATTTGGTGCTTTAGGAATCATCAAACTCTATAAGCAGCAGACTCAAAGAGAATGATTCACTAAAATTGGAGAGTGCAAAATATGGTGCATCTCTACAAAGAAACCAATCAACTTCCAGGTTTTATTGTCAAAGCTTAATTGAACAAGCTGAAGGTAGAAGCTGATTGGTTACCATGCACAGCTGCATTAGATTCTGAGCTCTCCCGTTTTAGCAAATCTTCTCGACAGTGTTCACCTTAATCAGACAGGTTCCTGCTCAGATGATTTCTATTTCTACCACCAGTCAACTGTCTCACAGATGAAAATTGTACTTTCATCAGAAGTTACTGATTAAAAAATAGAAAGTTTAAAAGAACCTGAACACACAGAAGCATGCTGTGTAGCTTTACCAATGCAGGCAGGTACTGGAAAGAAAATATGCTGAATTCTTTACCGAAAAACAATTTTTTTTGTCTGATACAATGTAAATTGTTGGTAAGTTTTTAAAGGGAAACTCTACTGTAAACCCATAATGAAAGAGGACTTGATCGAATGCAGGTCCTTTATTGCTGAAAATCTACCAGGGGACCTGCAGCACAGACTAATTTCAGCATGCTTTCTGAATTCTCATGCTTTTCCCCCCTAGACGATTATCTAAGACAACATCTAGAGCAGGGGTCCTCAAAGTGCGGCCCGCCGAGGACATTTTTCCAGCCTGCCGGCAGGGGCGTGTTTGCCGCGAGGAAAGGGACACTAAGTACAGGGGCGGGCAGGGGGCTGCTGTATCTTACCTGGCTCCGTGTCCCAGTCCCACGATGATCCAGTCCAGGAAGTGCTGCTCCTTCACTCCGGCCACTCCCTCACTCGATATTCGCGCTGCCGCTCGGCTCTGCCTCCTCACCGGTGACTGGCTGCCAGAACTGTAGCTCAGAAAAGTCACACAAGCGGTCAATCACCTGCAAGGAGGCAGAGCGGAGCTGCCCCACGAACATCGAGTGAGGGAGAGGCCGGAGTGAAGAAGGACAGCTGACAGGTAAGTGTGCCCTGCTGATGGTGCTGCTGCAACCAGGTATGCTGGCTGCAGCAGCACCATGCTGGAGCAGGGGTCAGCAAGTTAAGTGTCATTGGTGTCAGTGGGAGGAATAGTGCCCCATCATTGGTGTCACTAATACTAATGATGGGGCATTATTCCTCCCCCCACTGACACCAACGATGGAACACTATTCCTTCCCCCACTGACACCAATGATGGGGTACTATCCCCCTCCCACTGACACCGACGGGACACTATCCCGCCCCCCCCACTGACACCAATGACGGGGCACTATTCCCCCCCACTGACACCAATGACGGGGCACTATTCCCCCCCACTGACACCAATGACGTACTATTCCGCCCACTGACACCAAAAGATGCGGCACTACTTCTCTCCCCACTGACACCAATGATAGGGCACTATTCCTCCCACTGACACCAATGTTGGGACACTATCCACTTCCCCCACTGACGGGGCACTAGCCCCCCCCCCCCCCCACACTGACACCAAACGATAGGGCACTATTCTTCCCCCACACTGACACCAACAATGGGGCACTATTCCTCCCCTCACTGACACTAATGATGGGGCACTATTCCTCCCACTGACACCAATGATGGGGCACGATTCTTCCCACTGACACCAATGATGGGGCACGATTCTTCCCACTGACACCAATGATGGGGCACGATTCTTCCCACTGACACCAATGATGGGGCACGATTCCTCCCACTGACACTAATGATGGGGCACGATTCTTCCCACTGACACCAATGACGGGGCACGATTCCTCCCACTGACACCAATGACGGGGCACTATTCCTCCCACTGACACCAATGACGGGGCACTATTCCTCCCACTGACACCAATGACGGGGCACTATTCCTCCCACTGACACCAATGATGGGGCACTATTCCTCCCACTGACACCAATGATGGGGCACTATTCCTCCCACTGACACCAATGATGGGGCACGATTCTTCCCACTGACACCAATGATGGGGCACTATTCCTCCACTGACACCAATGATGGGGCACTATTCCTCCCACTGACACCAATGACGGGGCACTATTCCTCCCACTGACACCAATGATGGGGCACTATTTCGCTCCATAAGACACACTTGGGGGGAAATGTCTGTGCGTCTTATGGAGCGGCCGGCCCAGTATTCCCGCTGCCGTTGTATGTCCGCAGTCTCTGGTCATCCCCTGTACTCTGTCCGCAGTCTCTGGTCATCCCCTGTACTGTGTCCGCAGTCTCTGGTCATCCCCTGTACTCTGTCCGCAGTCTCTGGTCATCCCCTGTACTCTGTCCGCAGTCTCTGGTCATCCCCTGTACTCTGTCCGCAGTCTCTGGTCATCCCCTGTACTCTGTCCGCAGTCTCTGGTCATCCCCTGTACTCTGTCCGCAGTCTCTGGTCATCCCCTGTACTCTGTCCGCAGTCTCTGGTCATCCCCTGTACTCTGTCCGCAGTCTCTGGTCATCCCCTGTACTCTGTCCGCAGTCTCTGGTCATCCCCTGTACTCTGTCCGCAGTCTCTGGTCATCCCCTGTACTCTGTCCGCAGTCTCTGGTCATCCCCTGTACTCTGTCCGCAGTCTCTGGTCATCCCCTGTACTGTGTCCGCAGTCTCTGGTCATCTCTGTACTGTGTCCGCAGTCTCTGGTCATCCTCTGTACTGTGTCCGCAGTCTCTGGTCATCTCCCTGTACTGTGTCCGCAGTCTCTGGTCATCTCCTGTACTGTGTCCGCAGTCTCTGGTCATCTCCTGTACTGTGTCCGCAGTCTCTGGTCATCTCCTGTACTGTGTCCGCAGTCTCTGGTCATCCCCTGTACTGTGTCCGCAGTCTCTGGTCATCTCCTGTTTTGTGTCCGCAGTCTCTGGTCATCTCCTGTACTGTGTCCGCAGTCTCTGGTCATCTCCTGTACTGTGTCCGCAGTCTCTGGTCATCTCCTGTACTGTGTCCGCAGTCTCTGGTCATCTCCTGTACTGTGTCCGCAGTCTCTGGTCATCTCCTGTACTGTGTCCGCAGTCTCTGGTCATCTCCTGTACTGTGTCCGCAGTCTCTGGTCATCTCCTGTACTGTGTCCGCAGTCTCTGGTCATCCCCTGTACTGTGTCCGCAGTCTCTGGTCATCCCCTGTACTGTGTCCGCAGTCTCTGGTCATCCCCTGTACTGTGTCCGCAGTCTCTGGTCATCCCCTGTACTGTGTCCGCAGTCTCTGGTCATCCCCTGTACTGTGTCCGCAGTCTCTGGTCATCTCCTGTACTGTGTCCGCAGTCTCTGGTCATCCCCTGTACTGTGTCCGCAGTCTCTGGTCATCCCCTGTACTGTGTCCGCAGTCTCTGGTCACCTCCTGTACTGTGTCCGCAGTCTCTGGTCACCTCCTGTACTGTGTCCGCAGTCTCTGGTCATCTCCTGTACTGTGTCCGCAGTCTCTGGTCATCCCCTGTACTGTGTCCGCAGTCTCTGGTCATCTCCTGTACTGTGTCCGCAGTCTCTGGTCATCTCCTGTACTGTGTCCGCAGTCTCTGGTCATCTCCTGTACTGTGTCCGCATTTGTTCATAGTTTTTTTTTTCTTTTAAACTTTAGTCCGGTTCTCCAACGGTCTAAGGGACAGTGAACTGGCCCCCTGTTTAAAAAGTTTGAGGACCCCTGATCTAGAGCATCCAAGTACAGGAACTTCTCAGCTGTGTCCCAGCTATCAAGGCTGACTTAGTGGTAGTAGTGGTGGCGGGAGCAGTGCTCATATCAATGTCACAGACTGTGCTTCCTGAGGGATTTGCATGCTCTTCTATTACATGATAAAAACACATACACAGGCTGGGAAACAACTAACTTTTCAATAAAGATTGTTTTTCATAAAAAAAATATTTATTTAATATATAGATTTTCGTTACAATGGTAAGAGTGAATCCATCCCACTTACCTTGACGATGTTGGCTTTGTGCTTTTCTAAAACCTGAAGAATCTGTGCAGTGCTGGGGTCTACAACCAGGATCAGCGAGTGACAGCCATAAGCAATTAAACCTTGACAGCCCCTAGAGAGAAAACAATTGATGAAGAGCCCGTTCACTGCAAACACTTCTTAGATGGACTTCTACACCTACTGCAGGTATAACAACACACCTAGTGTGTGTGTGTGTGTGTGTATATATATATATATATATATATATATATATATATATATACACACACACACACACACACACATATATACATATACATACATACACACACACTCTCCATCTTCATTTAAACTTGCAGGCAAGCAAGTCTGTTACAGATACTATTAAAACAAATAGAGCTCTGTTCACACAACGAACTGTATTTTCCCATAAATGAGAAGAACCCACACACTGAATAATCTAGTTGACTTTTTGGCCCATTTTTAACTTGGTTTTGCATGGTTTTATTGGTTTGGTTTGAATCCTTCGGTGCTTACGAACCTTCAGAAGCCAAAAGAAAACCTAACATACCTATGCAGTGCTTAAAGAAAATCACCAACCACAAAGTAAAAACAATTAATCTATTTAAACTTAAATAAAAAAAAACAAAAAAAAAAAAACACAACAAACAAACAAACTGCTTTTACTACTAATTTTAAATCTGAAGCTGCACCCCCCCCCCCCCCCCCCCATGGTACTTCTGCCACATCTGCCACATTATGTCCTCAGCTTTCTTAGTTGAATGGCAAGAAGTGTCATTTAAAGCCCCACCCTGGGATCAATGTTGCTTGTGGTCCTTCTTTAGGTGTCCATGTTACTGCCTGTGTGACATGAACGCTTCCTATTGGGAGAGAGAAGACGACTAATGTTAGCACAGGTGAGCAGGTAGGGGAGTGGTAGTCTTGGGGTGCCATGGCAGCATTGAATTAGTGGTTCTCTGCAGTAGAACTAATAGTGGTAAGGGACCTTGATGGGGGACTTAGATGATTGTTGCTGGTTTTTTAAGATAAGGGGCAAAAAATTACTGTCTGCATAGGTCAGAGGGGGGTGGGGGACCAGCGTCATCCCACAGCTTGGGTTCTAAATATTACAGCACAGAAGAAGGAAGAAGAAATATACACTTTGGTTGGTCTTTAAAGCAGCTCTCTCAAGACAAACAGCTAAATTACATGGCTAGAATTATTCTATACATTTGGTTGTACTTGCTAAAGCATGGCATATCTGTCCAGCCAATGCTGGAATTTACAAAGCCCTGCCACACTGTTGATCTTATTTTACTGCAGGTAAAGCTGAATAATATTCACATAAGCTTCAAAAAGAATATCAAGGTACAGGCTTTCCTAATTTAAAAAAAAAAAACCCCACACCTTTTTTTTCTAGTTGTCTTTTTTTTTTTTTTTTTTTTTAAGTATTTGTTTATCCCCCAAATACGTCCCTCATTCCTCTTCTTTCTGCTACAGTGAAGGAAATAAGTATTTGATCCCCTGCTGATTTTGAATGTTTGCCCACTCACAAAAAATTGATCAGTCTAAAATTCGAATGGTAGGTGTATCCTAACACTGAAAGGCAGAATAGCAACAAAAAAAATTCAGAAGAAATGCATGTCTAACAAATTATGCACTGATTTGCATGTTCATGAGGGAAATAAGTATTTGATCCCCTTCACAAAACATGACTTAGTACTTAGTGGCAAATCCCTTGTTGGCAATCACAGAGGTCAGACGTTTCCTGTATTTGGCCACCAGGTTTGCACACATCTCAGGAGGGATTTTGGCCCACTCCTCTTGACAGATCCTCTCCAAGTCTTTAAGGATTCGTGACATTTGGCAACTCGAACTTTCAGCTCCCTCCACAGATTTTCAATTGGATTAAGGTCTAGAGACTGGCTAGGCCAGCCATTAAAGGTTCACCCTTAGGATATATGTAGTACACCCAAAAGAGGTGAACTGGTTAAGGTAAATTAGGTGAATTTTCTAAATGAAGAATAGATCAATTGTTTGCTGGATGGTATTAGTAAGTAGCTCATTGATTGGTTTTGCTTGTTGCCTGAAATTGCTCCTTTAGTCTTGGTTCACACTACTGCGACCTGTAAGTCGCACGACTTTGCCAGGCAACTTGAGTACTACTTTGAAGCAACTCTGAAGCAACTTTCAGGGAATGCCTGAGTAGTCTTTCTGTAATGTCGGATCCAAATCACATCAATATAGATGAGGATCCAACTTGAAGGCGATCCATTAAGGTCTATGGGCACAAGTCGGATAGAAGTCACCTTGAAGTAGTACAGGAACCTTTTCTAAAGTCGGAGCGACTTCAGTAGTGCGAATTAAGACAGCTGACTAACATGGGATTTCACATGCCATGCGACTTGGGGTCTCACAAGTCAGATCCCAAGTCGCGGTAGTGTGAACCGAGCCTAAGGCGGAACTAAACTCTATCAACATTGACCATTTTAAATCCTTATTGCTGCTAGGATTAGTAAATAGATAGGCAAGTATATCATATTTACCTGTTTTAAACTGGGGTTTTTTTTTCACATTTTTTCAGTGGTTTCCTGGTTCCAGGCCTAGGGAAAAGATGTCATACATCCCAGGATTCTTCAGGGAGGTGTTTTTTCAGCTAAGCACACCCTCTTGCCTACATGCCTGAGCTAACGGCAGATGGATTCCAGGAAGAAAATGCTACATAAATCATCTGCCCTTACTGAAGATGGACACAGCCAGAAATGCCAGGGATGCTAGGAGGATGTTTTTCAAAGTGATTTCTCAGCAAAATAAAAAATGGAGACATGGATGAATGAGGGAGTTTGCTTTGAACATTAAAATGAATTAAGTATTTTCAGTTTGTGGTGCTCAGATGCAGTTCAGTTTTAATAATTTCAGTTCAGTTGCAAAAGAATATTTTTTATATTTTTTTTCTATATTGTCTCTTATTGTACACAATGGTCAAAATAACAAACAAGAATGCCACCACTGTTTTAAAAACATGCCTATATTTAGCAAGCCCATATGTAATTTTTTTCTATTTATAAACAAAACAACTGTAATAAAACCATTAAAAACAATAAGATCCCTTTCACACGGGGGTATAATCGGGTCCATCTGTCAGTTTTTCAAGCGGACCTGATCAGATTCTCCATGTACGTCTATGTGCAGGCGGATGTAAGCAGATGAGCGTTCATTTACGTACTTTTACCCAATTTTTTGATAAAATATAAAAGATGATGTTACTCTGAGTAAATATTTTAACCATATCGCATTCATTTTTTTTAACTTTTTTTTTATCACTTTTATTGCTGTCATAAGGTATGAAAACATCCCCTGCAACAGCAATAGGTAGTGACAGGTGCTCTTTTTCGAGAGATCTGGGTTAATAAGACCCAAGATCACTCCTCTGCCCTTAAAAGCATTTGATCACACAAGATCGGTATGCTTTCCATTTTTAAAAAAGGGCACCCTTTACATCCAGGGAAACCGGAAGTGATGTATGCTCGTCGCTTTCTGTTTTCTATATCATAGAGCGGAAACACCAGATGGTCGATCGGGTGTCCTGGTATGGAAGGGGGGATGTTCCCTCCCACTGCTTGTAAAAGCAATCCAGTGGCTACTTAGCCATTTGGATTTCTTTTACAAGAGAGCTGACTTTTGGCTCTAATTCCTGCTGCTTGCCCGCAGCAGGGCTAAACATAATGAAAAACCTCTTGCCCGGCTCCCAGAACTGTATGACCCGGGCATCGGGCTATAGGAATTGCACATCTCTGAATATAATTCTAAAATGTAAACCATTACCGCAGTGGGGTAATATTGTATTGACATGGAGCAGCCTACATGCAAAAGGAAAAGAAGAGATGGATGGTTATGGACTGACAACACAGCACTAGAAGTAAAATAATTAACGAATCGTTGCACAACACTTGTTTATTTAACACATAGCACTTTATATTAGGAGTGAAAATTGAAATTTGTCCATTTTTGTCCATGCATTTTCCTTCGTTAATCCCCCAATTTTGTTCCGAGTTATTTCTTTATTGTGGAACTCCTGGGAGTTATTTACTATTTAGCTAAATTCATGTAAAATTCTAGAATCTGTGAAAAATTAACCCCTCATTTGGTGTTTACAGCCAACTGGTAAAACCCACCAATGAGCTGCAAGCAGTCAGCGGTGCTAATCATATTCCTACACAGCAGTTTACTCTCGAGGGGTTCAAGTGCTTTATATTTCCCAGGCAATTAGATACTGTAAAATGCACCTTGATGAGTGACATAATGAAATGCCTCAAGAACAGAAGAAACTTCTGTCTGCTTTCATAAAATTTTCTATTAATGGGCCAGCTTGGGCTTTGGGAGCATATTTACTTCTTTGAGGTGTTTACATGCATTGTGTTAAGGCAGCCCATTAAAAATCAAAGGGTTGTCAACGCACCCTTTCTGTACTGCAATGCACTACTATACAATGCAGTGCTCTACAGCTTAGGAGCGATGCATTAGTACATTGGGGTACTATTTAAAGCAAATGGTACAAAAACACAGCAACATGTTACATTGCGCTCCTCTGCATTGTGGGGCACTGCAGTGCTCATCTGTTGGCAAAGTGCAATGCCATGCAAAACAAATAGCACTGCATCAACGAGAATAAAACGTTCATGACCTATTTATAACAACGCAGTGTATATATGTTGTGGTGCCTTGAGGTCACTTGTAACTGGCACTTTACTTTGTAGTTACTTTGTAACTGGCCATGCCACAAGTGTTAAAGTGTCCTAAAAGACAGTTCCTGTAGTCTACGAAGGGCTTATTTCCATGGGAGCAAAGGACCCAACACCGACAAAATACAGCGCATTTCTGCGCCAAGTATTTGCGTACAGTCGTGACCAGCAGCCTGTAAAAAACAATGACAACTGGTGCAATGGCTGTATATACAACCTAATGGTTTCATGTGTACAGGGAGGAATGAGAAGTCATGGACACGAGCATCCTCGTTTTCATGGCTCCGCCACCTATAGTCAAAGAAATGTACTATGTGCTCATCCGACTGCAATGTAAACCATTCAAAGAGCGATTAACTCTCCTGTTAGCAGAATGCATGTCACTTATTGTTGTGGAATTTATAACATGATGGAGAGGGAAGTTATCATCTGAACCCTCTTGTACTGAATTGCTCTGTAACTGTACCACCTCTATTTTGTGAAGTGCAGTACAAACTGTTGGCACTAAATAAGGCTGTTTTCACACTGATCCATTTGTCTTATTCTTTTGCGTAAAGAAAAAAAAAAAGTGGAAGAAAACATGTGACAATGTATTTCTATGGAACTCTACACTGATCCGTTGATCCTTTTTTTCAAAGTCCTGCATGCTGCATTTTAAAATCCTGCATGCTGCAAAATAAAAAAAATGCACCTTTCCATGAAATCTATGGAAACCGCAGCAAAAGCACATTAAAAAAAATGCGCCTGTGTTGCGTTTTTGATACAGTTTTTGACACATGTCCTTACTAAAAAGAAAAAAAAAATGCACCACAAAAGCAATAAAAACAGGGTAAACATGGCAAAAGTCAGTGTGAAAGTAGCCCAAGTCCCATATAATAATAATTCCTTATCCAGTGCTGGATACATGTTTTATGTGAAATTGTCTCTACAAATAGAAACATAAACCTGCCTGCAAACAAAGAGATATAATAACTCTCCCATGGGTGGTCATTCAGATCTTTGCAGCCTTCAAAGGCTACGGCTGCTGAAGAATCTGCTACATCAAAACACACTTCTGGGGGTGTTGAATGGCCAGATCCTTACCGCGTACTGCAATTTAATCTGCCGGCCCCTACATTACTACTGTTAACCTCCTTAGCGGTATTCCCGAGTGTAGCTCGGGGTAGAGTTTCAGTACCAGAAGTGGTAACCCCGAGCTACACTCGGGCTTACCATGCGGCGTTGCATAGGGATTCCCTACAGCGCTTACCTTGTCCTTCGCTCCCGCGATGCGTCCCCTGCAGCGTCCCCGGCCATCTCCTCCGGCCGATGCCGGCATCCGGCTTCCGTGTTCTGGTCCCTGTGACGTCGGGACGTACGGGCTCCGGAACCGGCGGCAAATTTGAAATTTTTTTAAAAATTTCATTTTTTTAAAAATGATTATTACATAGTAAAACATTGCTGTTTCAAAACATTTCACATACATTTTGTCCCTACTGCTTTGTCCTGTCCCCTGCCTGCATTTTTACTGTTCTTTCTGCCTGGAAACTTAGAAAAGTCCATGGTGTCCAAAAAGAGTCCCTTTATGTCAAAAGCGGTTTTAGACCGGCTAGAGAACAGCGATAGTAAATCAGAATCACTTACAGAATTGAGTGATGATTCGTGGGGAAATTTGTCATCAGACACTGAAAACGATTCTGCGACTTTGCTCAGCGATGTGTGAATTTGGCGCTCTATTTCAAATTTAAGTGTTTTTGGTTTCATATTATTTAATTAAATTTATTATTATATTATTATTTTTTATGATTATTTATTAAATTATAATTTATGATTTTGTGTTTCAAGTTTTATCATATCCGGAATGTTTACTAGACTCTTGTTCGGACAGATTTCAGTGAGTTATTCCTAAATTACAGGCCTACAATAAAAAAAAAAAAAAATACATATTTCCATGCAAAAAAATGGTACCGCTTTCAGCACCAAAAATCTGAAATATTCATACCGCTAGGGAGGTTAATTCAATTTAAGGCAACTTAAGGAATCACCATCTATAAACCAGGTATTTCTATATGCATTGATGAACAAAGAACTCTACTACAAAGCGACACATTCACAGGCACATCACATAACACTGGCCTTGTGGCAGCCACTGATGAGTTTTTCAATATACTACACAAATAATGTCATTTCCCTAGATCCCTGGAATAGCAGTTTACATCTGCCCTTGTCTGAACAACATGAACAGAGAATAAAAAGAGATACATGCTTGTGACTTGCTGATTTCTGAGTGAACACACTAGGTATAAGGACCTTAGTCTACGATGCAAATTGATGAGGTATGAGAAGGCAGAGTCAGCAGAGGAATAAAACAAGTGCAAGCAATGGAAAGAAAGCTAGAGGCAGAAAAAGTAATTACATTTTGAATGAGAGACGTCTATGACGGTTTATGGCCATGTTCTGGAAGTATGTTTATTGGATTTGTACTGTTAATCTGTCTATGCACATTAAATACTGTACACTTATTACTCCAATGCCAACCCATGCATGAAATGTTATAAACAGACAGCACAATCTTTCAGGTTAATTTGTGTTTGAAAAGCATCCATATGAGGTGGTAAGAGTTTCATATTCACTTTTAATTTCTTCAGTGCCCGGTAATAGGAAAGCCAAGTCTAAAATCTACTATATAAAGAGCCTCTGAAGAAAGTAAAACGTCCTGTTACTTATAAAAATGTGACAAATCTGAACATTGACTATGACAAACAATTCATGCATGGCCCTCAGAGAGTAGGAAGTGGCTTTTCTCAAAGATTTTGGCACAGTATATGACCATATGTGTGGACATGCCTCCAAATTGAGTTCTGGTGTTAGTGCGTGTTGTGAGCTGTGGTCTGACTCTCCTATGTGTTGGCAGCACACAGGTTTTTTTTAACCCTACAATGCGAAAAAAATAACTCAATATGCATTTCTGCATCACAGAAATAACAAGGGTTCAATAGTGTTTCAATCGACTTGTTGGCTACAAGAATTTGTCCAACCACAATGTCAATGTATTCTTGATACAGAATATATTTTTTAATCTATACAGTCAAAAACTGGAAACCTGGTCTTTTACATATTCATGTAAGCAGCTGAAAGGACACATATTTTTGGCGATAAGAAAAATTTCAGGTGCCCACACCTCTACTCATGATTATGGCACATTGGCCTTCCAATGTTATTATTTTAAGGAAT